CCCTAACCCTAACCCTAACCCTAACCCTAACCCTAACCCTAACCCTAACCCTAACCCTAACCCTAACCCTAACCCTAACCCTAACCCTAACCCTAACCCTAACCCTAAGTGTCTTGGGAGATCGGGAGTCTTGCGCCGGTGAGGAGGATGGGCGGACTGAGAGCGCTAGCGTATGTATGTCCTTGTATGAGGCTGCCCGCGTTGGATGTGTCGCCCAGCACAGCCGCGCACGGGGACGGGCACGAGCACGATCGGCTGCGTGTGCCGGTAGCTAGTGCCGGTGTTGAATGTGCAAATACTCGGCGGGAGGATCCGATAGGCGTGAGTAGTGAGCGTGCTGGTCTTGACGAGGACGTCGAGCTGAGCGACGTCTTGGAACTCGTCTCCTCGCCCTCCTGCGCAGAGGCCGGTACTTCGCCGCGAATCTTCACAGTGTTGACGCGCGAGTCCACCATCATCGGCGCGTCCGAGCGCGTCGATGATGTCAACATGCAAGCCTCGGTCGGCGTTGGTGACGACGTGGACGTGCCAGAGATAGCTTTGTCGGTGCTCCCAGAAAACAACTTGCTTCTGCGTGGGCGCTGAGCCGTGAACAGGGACTCAATCTGTTTGTAAGCTGTTGGAAGATCCTCTCAGTCTCTACTGCCACCACCCACGTGCGGTGGTCTGGGCGTGCGTGCTCATTCATCGACTTCGGTGCCCCACACAGCACGTTGTCCTTGCGAATGAATCCTGGATCGTGGTAAGCTTCGACCCGCTGACTCGCGCTGCGGCGTGACTTACGCTTGACGAAACGCGCGAAGTGCGAGTTGTACATCATGGCGAAAAAAGTGAGTTTGTGCCGAACAAGATGAGCGGCGAAGGAGGAGAGGTGTGTACCATCGATGGCCTCTGTCGAGCCGACTTGTCTCTGCAGTCCGCTCCTCCTTTTGAGCACCGCGCCCCGAGGCACGGCCGTTGCATCGAGCCCGTCGCCGCTGCGAAACCGTCGGGCATCGGGCGGTCGATTCGCACACGCACGTCGTGCGTAGCGGGAGGGAACGCACGTAATGCTTTCCCGGAAGGCGTCGGAGGAGATGCGGCGCGGAGGATCGCGCATGAGGGCGGGAATTTGCGATTTGGGATCTTGTATTTCCGCCGCCAGTGTTCATCTGCCCATGATATTGTGCATACAGACGAAAACATATTTGACTTGTACGATTCCGGAGCTCCCGCAGCATATGCACAATGGTGTGAGGGAGCGGCCGTGGCGGTCATGACGCCGTGCGGGGCTGCAGGAGATGGCGGGGGCGAGGTCTTGCCGTGCGGCGTCCCCGACAACCGACAACCGACGACGCGGTATGACATCCATCGGAGTTCACCCTCAGCGCCGTCTTGTGCGGGCGGCCGGGGTACCAGCAGCAGGGCGCACACGTCAACGGAGTTTGGAGGCAGGGAACACCTGCCTCGGTCCTCAGTACAAGCTACAAACTTGCATCGGATCGGACACAACGGGCGGGAAGTAGTACATACCGTCGACATGTGCTCGTGACGAACGTTGTCCCGCATTTGCGAGATGTGCCCGTGGAGAGGGAGGTTGGCAATGAGGCGGTGACTTCGAGGTGTGAAATATCGAGCCCCTGAACGAAAACGGGTAGGCACGCTCTCGCTCTCGGCAGAGGTGTGTGCTCACTGCCACTTTGCAGAGTCCGCGCGCCCCACGCGCAAGGACACGTACCAGGCGGTCCTACAAGCTCCCCAAGTCCTCGCACTCGTCTTCTGGACGTCTCGGACCGCTGGCTTGTAAGTACGCCCTTCTTCCAGCCTCACACCTCCGTATGCCAACCAATTCACGCATCGGAGCATGCTGGCTGCATGTCTGGCATGTGCGTCCCATCCGTCGTCGTATGCCGTGGCCGTCCACACCGCCCGTGCGCATCGCGAGTCTTGGGCGGTGGCCCGCCCCCGAGGCGCGTTTTTGAGCGGCTGCCTCGATCGCCGCCATTCCTTGGGAGACCCGAAGACAGGGTGTGCTCACTTTCAATCCGTGGCGGCTTCGCAGCGGGTCGGTAAGCACGTTGCGCTTCTGGCGCGTGCGTCGGCGCGTCCCGCGCGATGGGCGCGTGTGTCCCGGGCTGCGAGCCCCGTTTCTGGGCTCGAATGGACGTCAGTATTGAATCTCGTATTAATAGCGCACGTGCAAACACACCCGTCGACAAGATGCCCAAGAGGGTGGAGAGCGCGCGCTTACACGGGTGTGGGAGCTGCCTCAATTGAGCGAGTGGGGGCGCCCGGGGCTATGGGCTGTAGATGTCAAGAAAGCAGGGGTGGATGCGCAGGGCGTGCCGGCGCGCTAAAGAGGGAGTAGGGTCGAGTGCGAGGACGCTCGCAGGGCATCGTAATGGTCGGGAGATCGTGGGTGCTCTCACTCCGTCCGAGATGTGGTCGAGAGAGCGGTCGAGGGCGGGAGACGGCGTCTATCGCGCCCGAGGACGGTCGCAGGGGTGCAGAGTGGAGGGCAAGCGAAATGGGCGACGGAGACAGGACGCGCGCAGAAGGTGCGATGAGGACATCCAAGGTGGGCCGGTGACTGTGTGTCGCCCCGAACGGCGAGCAAGGTCGTGGCGTGTACATGCATGCCCAACGTCTCGAAGAAGGGCAGCAGAAACCAGTGGAAAATGTTGTCCAGCTGAGCGGGCTTCTGAGGAGAAGGCTAGGAGTCAGTGGTTAAGCTCGTGCGGCTGGCCAAGCTACTGGCAGGGGACGTGGGGCGATCTGAGCTCCGGGGGGCCGATGCCGACACGATGCACGACGTCCGCTGCCAGTAGGAGCGTACTCACCCAAGTAATTGGACGCAACAGCCTTCGTGTGCGGCATTGCGAGGGAGGGTTGGACGGGGGTTGGCGGTGGCACGGTCAGAGGACGGGGTGAGCGGCAACGCGGCTGACGCCCGCCTTAAACACGGCCCATCACAGGCTCGTGACATCCGTGACGTGCTACCGGCGGCCGGCGAATATGACGGAGGTAGAGCCCAAGGTAAGTATACTGACTGGGAGCGCATCATGTCCGCCCGCTTACCGGCCACCGCGCGCATGGGCACAGCTCTCAGTACGACCTACAGTGGTCCGCAGAGGTACGCCCGCTGCACACCCGGAGAACGCTTTTTCTGCATGTGCTTACACCGCCGCCGTGTCGCGCTAGCTGCTCCCTCTCAAGTACGAAGCCTATCCGACAATGCACGACATCGACGCGGATGGAGGCCGCAGGCTCCTCATCTCCGCCCGACCAGTCTCTACTGGCCTCGACTGCCCGGTATCTCGCGGCTATCTTGGAGTGCTTTGCCCCGGTTCCGCCGAGCTGGACTTCAAGATACATCAGCAGCGAGCTGTATAAGGACCAGAACTGAGGTACGTACCTCATATGACGCGCCCAGCGAGGGCTGGCACGACGCCGACACGTTTTCAGCTACACGGGAGAGAGCCGGACCAGCCTTCACCACCGGACTTGCAGACGAGAGCGGGTGTATGGGCGTGGGCCACGACGCGCTGAGACGTGCCGCGGACTAACCTCCGTGCTCGTGGACGCTCTCATGGTGCGACAAGGCACAGCCGCGGCAGGCGACCCGAACGGCGTGACGCGCGCTCTACGATACTGTACGACCTCTGACTCCCCATGTACGTCTTTTCGGCGCCCCAGCCATCCTTCTCGCGGCCCGAGGCCAGACTTTGCTAGCACAGCCAGTGCCAGGGCCCCCGAGTCTCCCGATCGCGATTTCGCGATTTCGGGAGTTCGCGGCCGGCCATAGTCACGGTACGTAAACGACGAAAGGCCGCGAGATACGTACGCTGACAGCTATGGACGTCCAAAGCTTCCCCGTTGCCAAATCCAGACACGGAACAATCGCCAATATGAATGCCTCCGCAGTGTTTGTAGTGTCAACATGCGGGCCTAAGGACGGGGTTCACATGGTCAGTGTTCGGCACGCCTCGACGAAGCTTGAGAATCGGCGAAGTCACTACTTCACATCCAGACCACCAATATGAACACCATCATCATCACACGCTCACCATGCACACCAGACTTCTCGGGAGGGCGTGTTCCGGGTGTCCAGGAATGCAGCTTAGCTAATGGAATATAGGCGCGTCGTGCGGATCGGTTTCCCCGCTGAGCTTCACGGTAGCAGGGAGGCTGCCAATACACCACGATTTTGCAGCGTCAATTAATCTTTGAGCTTCCAAATCATCCACAATACAGGTAAGTATAGTCGGCCGCTCCCGATCGTGTCGGGCATGGTATGTCGGAATCGCACATAAAGCTGCGAACACTTCGATTGACAACACATCGACCCCTGCTTGCCCACCATGAACACCACTACCACGGCAGCACCCACCTTCCTTGACCACCGCCAGCTCTAGTTCCTCGCCACCCACTCGCCGATCTACTACACCCCTCACGAGTCGGTCATCTCCGGCATCCCGGACCACGTCCTCGTGCTCGCGGCACCCGTTATCATCTACTGGGTCCTCAGCACCTGGTTCCACGTCCTCGACACAGCCGGCTGGAAATGGCCCGCGAAGTATCGCATTCACGAGAGCGCGGAGGTGATGTCGAAGAACCTCGCCACACGCGGCCAGGTCCTTCGTGAGGTCATCCTCCAGCAGCTCATCCAGACCGGTATGGGCCTCGTCTGGATGGAGCAGGCTCCTGCGGGCGCCGCCGTCGACCACGTCGCGGCCATGCTCCGCCTCGCAGGCCCGATGGCGTCTGTTGTGAACTGGGTTCTCGGCCCCAATCTCGGCGGGCAACTGCTCGCGACGCGCGGCGCGGTCGGCCTCTACACCCTCTACTGGTGGGCGATCCCCCTCGGACAGCTCCTCATCGGCATGTACGTACCTGCGTTTCTCTTGCTTCTTCGTCGATCCCAACTGACACTTCGTGCTTCTGCAGCTTCGTGATCGACTCGTGGCAGTACTTCCTGCACCGCGCACTCCACATGAACACTGCCTGTACAAGACGTTCCACGCGCAACACCACCGGCTGTACGTGCCGTACGCGTACGGGACGCTCTACAACCACCCCGTCGAAGGCTTCCTGATGGACACGCTCGGGGCGCTCGTTGCGGAGCGCGCGGCGCAGCTCACAATGTGCGAGGCAACGCTGCTGTTCGTTGTCGCGACGGCGAAGGCGGTCAACGTCCACTGCGGGTACAACCTGCCCTGGGACCCGCTCCAGATCTTCACCGCGAACAACGCGGACTACCACGACATCCACCACCAGGTGCGTGTGCACGCCCGGGAGGCAGTGCCTGCGCGCGCGATCGCTGACGCTGCTTTTAACAGGCCATCGGCATCAAGTCGAACTTCGCGCAGCCGTTTTCAATCCACTGGGACACGCTTCTCGGCACGCACATGTCGCGAAAGGATATCGAGCGCCGCAAGCAGGAGCAGAAGGAGAAGCTCAGCAAGGTCGAGTAGACGACCCTGGGCCCTTGCTAGAAGATATGTACCGCCTACTATCATACTTACTCTTTGTACCGTGTACCGTACTCTCTTCGCCGCTCACTTATATGTTTCGTCTCTAAGTTATCACTTTACTTCTAGCATAGCTTCGTGTAGTAATTAGTACTATCAAATCGAACGGCGCTGAGTCGCCACGGTCTTATCTAGTTGCCGCTTTTCCTTCCCCTATGGAACATCATGTTTACGTCAGAAGGTCCGAAGTACAAGGCGAAGTTCTGGTACTGTCTGATAATATGTCGAGGGAGATGCGAGCCTTCTCGCCAAGGCTTCCATCATGCCGAAGTGGCTCAGAAATCCGTTCGCGGGCTAAAGGGAGACTCTGGCTATGCCGCGCGAGAGACGTATGTAGCGTTCATGCATAAGCTCGCCAGAAGCCTGAACGCAAGCGAGTATTTGGAATAGATGCATGAGCGTAGGCCGCTCAGCGAGGCCAGTACATATTCCATATATATGTGAGATATACATGCATGCGAAATTCGTGATACAACAAGCACCTGGGCCACTTCGACGACTCTCGACAGGCACAAGTACTACAGTACAGTACAGCATCAAAAGAGACCTACCTATGTCAACACATCAAAACACGCAAGGCTTAGCAAGCACTCGCAACCCCGCGGCCTTCAAAACGCCATCATCGGCGCGCCGCCGTCAGCGAACAGCTGCTTTGTCCGCAGCCGCTCCATCCCGACCACAACACATCCCCCAGGCACGACCGTCGTCGGCGTCTCCCAGTCGCGCATCGTCACCTTCGCGCGGCACACGAACGTGCGGTGCTCCGCGCGCGCAAACAACCTCAGTGGGACGGGCACCCAGAAGCGCACGGTCCACGTGCAGGGCCCGTCGGGGTTGTCGCTGGGCTGTAGTTGAGGCGCGTACTCGAGCGCGATGCCGCGCGAGGGGTCGAGCGTCGGTGTGCCGGAAATTGGAGATGTCGAGAAGGTGGAGGGGAGGCGCGTCCCGCTGTAGCTCGTCTGCCACTCGTGTGTGGAGAATGGTGGTGTGGACGAGGAGGTGAACGGCGTGGGGTCGAAGGTGACGGGGTCTTCGCGCGGCTCGTCGGCGGTGTGGAATTGGATGGTGACGTCGTGGATGAGGTGGCGGGGGTAGAAGTACGACGGGGGCTTCGTGTCGTGGATCTCGAGCGTGCCTTGCCACGCGTAGATATCGCTGTAGTTCGGAAAGATCAGTAAGTACGTTACGCGCGATGAGCAGGATAATTGATATACATACGTCTCTTTACCGTCCCAGAGTGTCGTGTGGCGTGCGTTGGGGACAAGATCGACCGAGAAGCGGTCGCGCACGGCCCTCGAGCCCGAGACGGTAGGCAGTACTGCTCGCTTCTTCGTAGATCGTCCGCGCTCCTGCTCACGCTCAACCCTGTCGCACGCACTCTGAGCTTGTTGTAGCTGCGTCTTCTCGCGCGCGCTCCTCTCCTGCTCCCGCTCGGCCGAGTCACGCGCGATCTCCTTCAAGACGTCCTCGAGGATGCCGCTTGCGCCGATTCCGTTCTCCTTCTCCCGCGCGGCGCCGGAGCCCTCCCGCTGCTTGTTCGCGCCGGTCGCGCCAGGTAGACGGAACGGCTTGAGCGTGGCTTCGGGCGTCGGAGGCGCCTGGCGCGCGAGCACGTAGCGGAACTGCGAGCACGAGCGCGCGTCAGCTTTGTGGTTGCCCGCGACAGCGGCGCGTGCGTTGATCGCGCTGGTGCTGACGACGGGTGGAACTGGGAGCGACTTGCGCGTGCGCCGGGGCGCAGGGGCAAGAGTGAACACCGGCTCAGACTTGCGCCGAGGGCTGTTCGGGCGCGACTTCGGCTGAGGGCTGCTGGGGCGCGAGTAGGGGGGCGACGGCGGGTTGTCGAGGCTGGAGAAGAGGAGCTCGGTGGGAGCGTCGAAGCCTTCGATCTCGATCGCGAGGTCTAACCAATGGTCGGTGTCGGGGATGTGGCGCAGCGTGGGCGCCCGCTTGAGGGTCATCTTCTCCTGCTTTGCGAACGTTACTGTCTTCTTCGTTCCGGAGGGTTTAGGGATGTCGCGGTTGCATGCACTCGTAGTGGCGCGAGCCGTCGGCCAGGTGGATGGTGTATAAGAAGTAGCACCGGATACAATAGCTCGCGCAAGAGGCCTGTCCCTCGCTCCGTCCTGAAAAAGCGCAAAAGAAGAGGGAGGCGCGGAGGCACCGCGATTGTGCCCACTGCTTGTCTTGAGCGCCGCTTTGGCACGCGTGTGGCTAAAGCGCGCAGACAAAAGGCCCTTGCTTGTCCGCGTTTCAGGCTCGACGGCGGGCTTCTTCAATGCACTCTTGAGCGGTGGCACCGGCTGGGATGGGCGCACAGTGTGAGTGGACGCGTCCGAGTCCAGTCGTGGGCGAGAAGACGCGCGGGGGCCGTCGTGGTGTCTGTCGTCGCGCGTGGGTCGGTCGTCGCTATCGTCGTTCTCGTCGCCGGACGCTTCCGCGTAGTTGCGCTTCCGCCGGGCGGATGACGTGTGGGCGTGTGTGGGTACGCGTGTGGACGAGGCGTTCCGCTCGAGTGGCTGAGGGCGCGAGATGACCGGGCGCTGGGCCTGAGCTGGGTGCGCCGTGTCCGACTTGGGTTTCGACGACGCGAAGAGGCTGAGGAGCTTGCCGCTGACGGAGGTCCGGCGGCGGCGAGCGATGGGGTCGGGGTTCCTTGGGTATGGACTAGGGTACGCCGAGAGTGCGGAGACTTGAGATGGTGACATCGTAGCAGGCATTGCGTCCGAGCGACAGTGGTTGCTTCGAATATGAATGCCGCACGCTCAATACCTGTGAAAGGTGCTCTTGGTCCTTGTTCGCGGTAGAAAGGAAGCGTTTGGGGGCTACAGAACGCTCGACGATGAGGCTTTTGTAGCTTTACACCTTGCCTCGGTTAGAGGCGGGAGGTCGGGTGGCGTGGTGGCTAAGAGACAAAGGCGGATGTACGCCACCGCCGCTCGATACGGCGCACAATGGGGACTGGTCCGAGCGCTACCGAGCGCGAGTCGCGTCGCTACGCAAGCCGCTGATGCGTAGACACGGTGCTTGTGTGCGTGGAGGAGCGTATAACATTTGGGTACATGCGCCGAGGTCGTAGCTCTTCTCGGTCAAGGTGAGTGGCGCGGAGAACACTTCGTCGACAACGCACACACCTTCGACTTTCAGAACAACACGCATAGCAACCTACGAGATCGGTTGTGCTAATGTTTTCCCGCGTGCGGGGTGAGCGCGGCGTTTCGCTGAGGTGCGTCGAGATACGTCAACGAGACTCGTTCTGCGTAGGGGATATTACTTACCACCGC